AAGGAGGAAAGAGCGAAAGCTCAGCAGGAAGAAGCTGAACTTCTGGCCCAAAAATTGGCTGAGAAACTTAGTGAAAGCGAGCAACGTCGTAAGTTCTACCTGGAGCAAATACGAGAAAGAGCTTCTATGGATTTCAGGGATCAATCTTCACCTTTACTGCGTCGATCCATAAACAAGGATGGTCAGGGTAGATCTCCACCTACTAACACTGGTGAAGATAATCAGGCAAGCAGTTTGTTGGGGTTAGGAGGTTCAACTCTGGTGACAAGCAATGTTGCCTTGCAACATTCGACGAAACGAAGGATTAAAAGAATTCGACAAAGGCTTATGGCTCTAAAATATGAATTTCCTGAGCCTCCTGGTGGTGCTGAAAATGCTGGTATTGGGTACAGAACAACAATGGGAAGTGCAAGGGTGAAAATTGGGAGATGGCTTCAAGAACTTCAAAGACTTAGGCAGGCAAGAAAAGAAGGGGCTGCAAGCATTGGGCTAATAACTGCTGAGATGGTCAAGGTATTTTCTTCCAGGACTATTTAGCAAGTTTATCTACTTTGTTGCCGGATATGTGATAATTGAACCATGATATCTTAAATACTAAATTCTTTGCTTAGATGTCGGTGTAGCTTAGTTGTGGGTATAAAAGTTTGTTATATCAGCTTCATGAACATTTTGTATGTCAGAGCTCAAATTAACAAAAAATTTTGCTCTTATTTACATTTTGGACAGAGATATGAATTGTGATATAATTGCTTCTTAACTCATTTTTCTCTCTTGGGAATTAGTATTTGGAGGGAAAGGATGCTGAACTGCAGGCTTCTCGTCAAGCTGGTCTTATTGATTTTATAGCCTCTGCCTTGCCTGCTTCTCATACATCAAAACCCGAAGCCTGCCAAGTAACAATACATCTTCTAAAGCTTTTGAGGGTGGTATTATCTGTGTCTGCAAACAGGAGTTATTTTCTTGCACAGAATCTCTTGCCCCCAATCATTCCAATGCTGTCAGCTGCACTTGAGAACTATATAAAGATTGCAGCATCTCTAAATCTCCCTGGTAATACAAATTTGCTTTCAAGCAAAACTTCAGCTGAACATTTTGAATTGATATCTGAAATTTTGGAAGGATTTTTGTGGTCTGTGACAACAATAATCGGTCACGTGAACTCTGAGGAACAACAAATACAAATGCGGGATGGCTTGCTAGAATTGTTGACCGCATACCAAGTTATTCATCGATTGCGAGATCTGTTTGCTCTTTATGACCGGCCCCAGGTGGAAGGGTCACCTTTCCCTTCTTCAATTCTCTTAAGCATTTATTTATTGGTGGTTTTAACATCCAGACCTGAAACAAATTTGTTGATTGATTGGGAATATTTAGAAACATTAGTGCGAAATGGAAGTCAAGCCTCCAAATTTGCAGAATCTGTGGATACTGTATATCCTATAGATCATTCCACAGATCTAAGACCTCCATTACCAACTCAAAATGGTAGTAAAGTTGTACAATTACCAGATGTACCAGAGGATACACCATTAGATGAATCATATAAGATGGATAAGAATGTAGTGTCAGAATCCATCAACATGGACGCTGACAAGGAGCAAAGTAATTGTTTAGTTGATCCCAATAAGGCTGATGTGGCCAAATCAGATGATCCAAAAGAATCGGAAAAGATTCCAATCGAAGACATCTTGAAGTCTTTTCCACCTCAGAAGGATGATAAGATCTCGGTGAATGTGGGTGTAGAAGAAAAGAATGAAAATGCTTTGAACCTGGATCAACCAGTGGCGTTTCTTCTTTCTGCTATATCAGAAACCGGGCTCGTCAGTGTTCTTTCTGTGTTGACAGCTGTGTTACTGCAGGCAAACAATAGATTGTCTTCTGAACAGGTAACAGTGCTGCCACGTGCAAATAACGTCCATTAACTGTTTTTTTTTTTTTTGGGCTGGAAACGTCCCTGAACTTGTAATTATGAATCTATGGTTACGTGCAGTCTGATTTTAAAGTCTCAAATGTCTAAACACTTTTCCAAATTATAAGAGGGAGCACTGGGAAATGGGAATCAGGAACTGTTGACATTTATTATTTACTTAACTATTTCTTATTAAAAAACACAAATAGTTTAGTTCTATTGGGGAAAGGTGGAGAACGTGGAGTATAACTAGTGCTTTTTTGTGACAGAGATCATAAAGAGGAATGAGTAGTAACAAAAGATTGAACACTCTTATATTTGGAACTCCATGCTGATTGCCTTAGTTGGTCATTTTGTAATTCTAGGCACTAAAAAAAATTTATTTCCTCAAATGATAGTATTTTATGATAAGTTCTCTTGACGACTTCTTGTCACGTTATTTATCAAAAACTTCTCTACATGTTTGCTTAGCGTGCCTGCTTGTTGCTCGTCTTATTTTGTCCTGTTAATCTATCTTCTTTACTAACAAATTAGTTTACTTTCCTATGTAAAAGAAGTTATTTGCTAAGCAACTCAGATATCCATTGTAACTATTCTTTTTTGCTTCAGGGATTATATGCCCTTCCGTCGAATTTTGAGGAGGTGGCAACTGGAGTTCTGAAAGTGTTGAACAATTTGGCCCTTTTGGATCTCAAGTTTTTGCAGAGAATGCTGGTACGTTATTCAGTTTTACATCTGATACTTGAGAGTTTTCTGTTTGATGGCGATTTTCAAATTCAGAAAATCTAATATGGATTCTCTCTGAGCTCTCTCTTCCTTTTTCCTGCTTGGTTACAGGCTAGGCCAGACCTGAAAATGGAATTTTTTCATTTGTTGAGTTTCCTTCTTTCTCATTGCAACGGCAAGTGGAAGACAGCTAGTGATCAGGTGATTTAATCTACCCTGTTATTAGTAATACATCAAGATTAACTCATTAAGCGAGCGTCTGTCGTGGAGACTTCTATTAATTCTTGAGCAAACGTAATGTCTCTTAGGTTGGTATGCTTCTGCTTGAATCTTTGTCTCTTCTTGGTCACTTTGCGTTGTTCCACCCGGGGAATCAAGCTGTTCTTCGATGGGGAAAGACGCCTACTATTCTACACAAGGTCAGTTAAATCTTGTTAAATCTTCATGTGTTTGTTCCATCTTGAAGTTTTATTAATGAAATCTGGTTGCTGTGTTGGATGAGGCCAGATATGCGATCTACCGTTTGTGTTCTTCAGCGATCCCGAGCTGATGCCGGTCTTAGCTAGCACACTGGTTGCTGCCTGTTACGAGTGTGAGCAGAACAAGGCTGTGGTCCTGCAGGAAATTAGTACAGATATGCTACTCTCCTTGTTAAGATCTTGCAGAAATATGTGCACACTTCGGTCCAATCCAAACACGGACAATTTCCCTGTAAATGAATCTAGTGATAATCTGGTTAATGGAGAACATAAGAAGGTTCAAGGTGACATTCCTCTTAAACCCAGCCGCCACAACTCTCGTTACTCTAGAATCTCTTCGGGCAAGAACAGTGCTTCAGGAAACAGTATGAAGAATGGCAAATTGAGAAATCAAAGGGACTATAAAGCAACAAAGGGTCATGAAGAAGTGGCTCTGAAGCCTAATATGCCGGCTTCAGAAACTTCCTCCATGATGTTACATTGTAGATTACCACTCAGTTTCATCGATAAGGCGGAGCACTTCTTCTCATCTGGGACCCCTAGCGGAGCATAGCTGATGAATTATGAGGTCAGCCATCAATGGAAACCTCCTATCATTTTTCTTCCAGATAGATCTGCTTTAGCACGAATACGATTTGATACATGAAACGAGAGGTGAAGTTTCTTAATTTAAGACACTTGAACACGGAGTTTGAGGCAGAAGTTTTTGATTCTGACACTGCGGCAGACATGACATTGACAGATACTTGGTATAGAGATAGAAACAGGTTATAATTTGTCAAGAATGAATAGTCCTGCGGAGATTTTCTTGTTTCTCAAGCCAAGCTATAGAGTTTTCAACTGAGTTTAGAATCCAATTTGTATCCTATGCAGGACTTTTATTGGTCACTTTGCCGTGTTTATCCTCACCAGGAGTCCAAATGGGTGCTGGTGAAGAGTTGTCCCCGTACCACAAGCCTTGCAAATTGCAAATGTGTACTGAATTAACACTTCTGCTAGTAAAAGACACATTCTTTTTTGTTACGTATATTGACTAAATAATAAAAATTCTCACTGAACTTTACGTTTTACAAGAATGTGCTTCCTGAATTCTTGGCCGTGTTTAGAATTAATTTCGTTTTTGTTTTTTATGTTTTTCGAGAAAGAAAAAATGAAAACGTTTTTAAAACGGTGTTTGACGCAATAAAGATAAAAAACAGAAATGAAAATGATTTTTTAGTTTAGTGTAAAATGAGAGAAATGAAAAATGACTTTTAGTCGTTTTTCATTTTTTGTTTTCATTTTCTCATCTCTCGAACAGAAAGAGACATTAATAGATTTTTTTACATTGAAAATAATCTGTTGATAAAATTACTAAACGCATGTTTAAAAATAATTTCTGTCTGAGATTGAAAATGTTTTCATTTTCATTTTCATACAAAAAAATAAAATCATTTTAAAACGAGTTTCAAATGCGTCCCTTAATTTTTATATCATCTATTCTTCTTGAACTTTGAAAATGTAATAGGAAATGCCAAGAAATGCCACTTCCGTTAATATTTTGAATTGAAAATTCATTTTCAAAGCTAAATAGGGGAAAAAAAAAATAAAACTCGCTTTTTATCTCTCCTGGCTCCTGCTAAGGTTGAGATCTTGGGTTTTAGGGATAGAAGATTTATTTTTCAGAGTTTATTAGCGAAGGGTCCCACAGCCAAGGCCAAAAGGCAAAAGCTACCAACAGCCGCCACATTGGGTGCATATTAACGTGGTGAGGGGCACCAGGCATAACTTTAAGTTATTTTTATTCAACGATTTAAAATTTAAAATTTAAATTTTGTTATAATAAAAAATTTTCAGAAACAGTTGTATTTAATTTTTTTATTACAATAAAAAATTCTTACATAAAGTCACATATCAACTCGAATTAAAAACTTAAATCAGCGAACTAAATAGTTCCTTATTCTTTCCTTGTTACAGTGAGTTGTATATACGCACTTATTATTCGTTTTTATTTTTATTCTTTTTGAATCCGTTTAGAAAGCATACTTAAAAAAAATAATAATAGAATCAATAATTTTAATTTAAATATATGAAATAAACGGATTTTAATTTGTGTCTGATAGTGATACACGTCAGTTCAACAATAACATAAGAACTAGAGTTACAGGAATAACATAAGAACTAGAGTTACAGGTCGGTGAAAAGGATAAGACTTCCGCCAAACATCTATTTAAAAGACTCTTGAAACAACTCACACGTGATACATGCCATCCACAAAACTAACAAAAGGGAATAAGAATGTGAGAAAACATCCTGTCGAAGAAAGACCCAAACAATATTTATTTTTTATTTTTTAACAATCATGGAAAGGACAAGTTAAACAGCATCAATTTCATTTGAAACACATGAAATATTGAAATGAATTGTAACTTTGTAAATGACAAAAAACCGGAAAACGATCATCTAAGAAAAAGAAATGCAAGACATCAAGTTAAAAAACGAGGGTAAACTGAAAATCGAAAAAATATAAAACAACGTCAATAATAAAGACATCATAAGCTGTACATAATTTGAGAATTCATAGAAACTTTGAAAATAGACAACAAATTTTAGCAGCTGCCGGCAAATAACTTAAAAGACAGAGCCATAAACCAACATGTTTTTTTAATAGAAACTTTGAAAATGGACAACAAAATTTAGCAGCTGCCGGCAATTAACTTAAAAGACAAGCCATAAACCAACATTTTTTTTAATGGATTTGGGTTTTGCGAAAGAAAAACTTACCTTTAACAAACACATTTACAATTACATCAAAGTGTACATGCACAATAAATTTATGTTCATCAATTGCTAGGAGAAGAAATTACAGTTCGTATGGAATGAGTTGCGGGGATAAAAAAAAAGCCAGGAAATCTCAACATAATTCCAGGCAGCGTGTCTTCCAATGCAAACCTCTCAAAGAGGCATGAATCAATCCCGAAGACGATGCTGATGTACTTTGTGCTTCATTCCTTATAGGCATCCCAGAATCAGCTTTAAATTACTGCTAGAAGTAGCAAAATTTTATACATGTTTAACTGGGAATGTCCGTGACAAAAAACCTCAACAGGAGGGATCTTTTGCCAAAGCCGCTATGCAACTACCATGCGCTCCTTTTCCTTTCTTGGTGCTGAGAAATTAAATGCTGTCTGTAGATACAGGAATTTCTTCATTATCCGTAGACTTTTCATTTCCAACATCTGTATTATTTCCTGAAGAGTAGGCACTCCCGGGAACCTTAACTAAAAGTTCATTGTCTAATGCATTCTCTTGCGGCTCCAAATTCCCTCGATCCTGAAACTTTTGTTAATAATAGTGTTAGAAGATTGTGATTTTTGGCGGGTAATTGTGCTTTGTGTTGCGTCTTACAACAAGGGTTTCATACTAAAGACTTGTGGACAGAAAAGATTGTAGATAATAGATCTTATTACATTCGTTAACGTAGAAAAGTTAGTCCTGGACTTTACAAAGTAGAAAGAGATCTGTGCTCTGAGACTGAGAACATACCTTTACATTAATGTCAGTTTGTTCATTGTGTTGAACGTTTCTAAGGCCGTCAATGGCAGCTTTGAGCTGTTTCTTAGCCTTGGCCCTTGCCAAGCGCCGTTCGGCACATTGAGCCTTCGTAACATCATAATGACAGGCTACGCAAAGTGTTCTCATGTTCTCAAGCATGCATTCACCTACACCAATTTCAGATAAAATAAAGATTTTATTAACGGAAATACCAAATAAATAAGAGAACAAAATAAAATGCTCGTTTTGTCGCTAAAAAAAAAAAGGCTTCAGTAAGATAGTAATCGAGCATTGACTAGTACTAGTAGGGTTTAACAGAATGCATTGTTTGACAATCTAATGGCCTGGAGATCATTTAAGTAGACGAATACAATTTCACAATATGTTGAGATTGTATCCTACCTCCACCTTTGTACACGGGAACAATATGGTCTGCATGCCATGCGTTGCCCTCTATTGGGTCCTTAACAAGCTTGTCGAGTCTGCATGTCATAAACTGGATTTCAGGAGATTATTCCGAATTGAAAGGTAAAGATGCTAAATTATGACCAAAGCACTGTAAGGAGAGGATTTGCCTAACACATCTAGCTCCCAAAAATCCGTTTCTGTCCCCAGGGTCCACAAAATGCAACTTTATGCAGTTAATGAATGTTAAAGTTTCTAAGTCGAGAATCTCCTTATCATAGTAAATTGTAACATATATAAAACAAGAATAAAGCAGAATATTGATAAGCCTCTGGTGCGGTTCACTTATGCGCGAAGGAGGCGCAAGGGGTGGAGCAGGAAGTTGAGTCAGCAAGGCAGCTGCTGGATGTACGCCAGATACGCCAAGGGCAGGAAGCTGAGTCAGCAAGTTAGTTAAGGGACGGGAGGTCAGTTGCTTGGAGTCTGTATAGGGAATTAACGTAGGAGTATAAATAAGATAGAGGGTGGTTAGTAGAGGGCACTGGAATATTGTCATTCTTAAAAGAAGTTGTTAGGAGAGCACGGGATCTCTCGAAAATCCCCATACCATTCTTTACTTTTCTTGCCGCCATTGTTAATTCTCGGATTAGTAATACAAATTCTCTTCAATTTGCCATCTTTCTGTGTTACTCGAATTGGAGCTTATCATTTGGTATCAGAGCAGTGACGTCTGGGAATGACGAGACGTGCCGATGAACGGGAGAAAGAGAAGACGGAAGTTCCTCGAGAAGAATTCCAGAAAGAAATGGAAGGAATTCGTGAGGATTTGAAGAAAATACCTAGACTTGAGCAGGGAATGGAGATGCTGCTTGAAAGGTTGGATGATCGGGTGAGACTGAGGGAATCGGCCTATCAGGAGCTGCCGTGGGCCGCGGAAGGCGCAGCGGTGGAACCACCGGCGCCAAGAGAAGATCGGCAACGGGAAGGAGGAGGCCGTGCGAAATTTCGAACGTGACGGGTAGAAATGCCAGTTTTCGATGGAGACAACCCCGATGGATGGATCTTCCGTGTTGAGAGGTTTTTCACCATGAATCGAAAGACGGAAGGGGAGAAATTGGACGCGGCGGTGGTAAGTCTCGAAGGAGAAGCCCTGGCGTGGTTTCAATGGGAGGACGGTCGCAGGCCGATTCGGAATTGAACGGTGTTGAAGCTGATGATTCTGGAGTGGTTCCGCCCTACGCAAGAGGGGAGTCTGTGCGAGAAATTCTTGTCGTTCCGCCAGGAAACGACGGTGAAGGAGTACCGGCGAGAGTTCGAGGCGCTGGCAGCGCCATTGACGGAGCTTTCGGAGCAGGTCTTGGAGAGCACTTTCGTTAAGGGATTGAAGCCTGAGATTCGGGCGGAAATCATATTGATGAGGCCGGAAGGATTGGGTCGAATCATGGAGGTAGCCCAGCGGGTGGAGGATCGTAATAAGATGGTACGCGGGCCAAGAACCTCAGGCCCACAAGACCCACAAAATTTGACGTAGAGCAAAGGGGGAAATATTTATACAGCTTTCACTGGGCAGAGGGGTGGTCCAAGCCATTCTAGAACGGGAGCAGGGAACACGGGAGAATCAGTAGGGAGGAACTTCGCCACGACGGAGAAGAAGACCGGAACTGGTGGTGGCGTGGCGACTTTCCGGCGGTTGATGGATGCGGAGCTGCAGGCAAAGAGAGAAAATGGCCTATGCTACCGGTGTGATGGGAAGTATACCTATGGGCACCGTTGCCCCAACTGGGAATTGCAGGTCCTGATCGTCAGGGAAGAAGAGGAAGAAGAACAGGAGATTGGAACAGAGGAGAGTGACGAGGAGAAAAATGAGAAGCTTGGGGGAGAAGAGACGGTGGAACTGTCACTCAATTCGATGGTGGGACTCACTGCTCCGAGAACGATGAAGCTCAGAGGACACGTCCGTGGGTGTGAGGTAATTGTCCTAATTGATAGTGGGGTTACCCACAACTTTATTTCTTATGAACTAGTTAAGAAATTGGGGTTAACTGTGGATAAAACTAGTGGGTATGGGGTAGTGATGGGTA